AACCGGCCATCCCTATATGGGATCCGAACCCGGGGCCTTGGTGTTATCAGCACCGCACTCTCCCGAGTGAGCCATGGGCCGGCCCGCCACAAACTTTTTGAAGTACTCTCATAGTTAAGAGTAAGGCTGAACCCCCAAGTAGCACCAGAATAAATCTGAAATTTGATTTCTGTGCAAAAAGAAAGTGTTGCAGGTAGGGGCAGATTTAGTTCCTTGTGAATTTGAAATTTATTTAGGAAATGTTTAGTTTACTGAGCCTACTTGAATGAAGTATATGGCATATTATGCAGTGGACATCATACCAGAAATGTCAGGTGGTCTAATCACTAGTTCAGGAAATAATTCTTGGGCTCTTTGGGGCCATTTTCTCTTCTAGTTTTTCCTCATGACTTTTCTTGCCAGGGTTGGTAAGAGTTATGGTTTCAATTACAAAAATCTCAGTTCTTGGGCTAGAAAAGAACTTTTAAAGCAGTGATTCTCTTGTAAGACTTGTTAAAACACAGATTGCTGGGCTTTACCTCAGAGTTTCTGGTTAAATAGGTTGCAGTGGGGCCCAAGGATGTTGCATTTCTTTTTTTTTTTTTTTTTTAAAAAGATGACCGGTAAGGGGATCTCAACCCTTGGCTTGGTGTTGTCAGCACCACGCTCAGCCAGTGAGCAAACCGGCCATCCCTATATGGGATCCGAACCCGTGGCCTTGGTGTTATCAGCACCGCACTCTACCGAGTGAGCCACGGGCCGGCCCAGGATGTTGCATTTCTAATAAGTTCCCAGGTGGTTCTGGGAACCGTAGTTTAAGAACTACTGTTTTAGAGGTCATCTGGCCATCCACTGGCTTCCGGCTTATGTGGCAGTCTGCCCAGATCAACTTAAGTTTCTTTTAGCCTCCAAGAAAAGTATCTTACAAAAGCTCTGAACAATCTTCCCCTAAGTTGCAATTTCCAGAGATGAATATCCTGGGTTTATCGTCACATCCCTGAAAATGTCTTCCTCCATTTAGCATGCTTTTTCTACCCACCAATCTATTGAATGTTCTCTAACATTGGGTTGGGACGTGCCAACCTTTGTTTTCCACACAATTTTCCTTAACATTATTCACTGAAGCTGATGAGAAGGATGATTTGGGTGCATCCACAATGAACATTGGTTCTGACAAATGTATCCTTCTCTGTGTCCATCCACATCTGTTTCTCTGTACAATCCTCTTGAGGACCAGTTTTTATTTTGTTGTAGTTGCTGGGGATTCCCTTTACCTCCAAGAAGTCATGTTATGCCTGCATTGGGAGTCCCATACCTAGGACAGCCCTAAATAGTCAATTTACCAAGAGCTTTCCTCAAAGAAAATACATTAACAAGTACAGTAAAGGGATTAGCTTGGAGGTAGGATTTCTAAGAGAAAATAAGAATCTATGCTGCCTGTGTGTAGCTCTGGGTTGCCCAGGACTGTGGAAACAAAGTAATATTGAAATTTTGTCTTTGTCCTCAAAACCTCATAATTTGTTATAAAGAGAAAATAAACACTGAATACTTTAAGCTCAAAATATGGATATATTGAAACATATGTGCTCAGGAAGGTCCCTACCAACAGAATCACTTATAAGAAGTTTCCCTAGAGAAGGTGAATTTAGAAATTCACTTTAAAGGTGAGGAGTATGGTGGATTACTGGAGAAGGGGAGGTTATTTCAGGGAGAATCATTTATTTTAAAGCACTAAAATAGAAAAAAGTCATGTTTTAAGAGAGGGGCTTGTCTGGTATTAATGGGTTTTGTTTTTATTTTTTATTCTTTATTTTTTTAAAGATGACCAGTAAGGGGATCTTTTTTTAAAAAAAAAAAAATCTTCTGGGCCGGCCCGGTGGCACACTGCTATAGTGCGCCACTTGGGAAGCGCGGCGGTGCTCCCACCGAGGGTTCGGATCCCACATACAGACCGGTTCCCGCTCACTGGCTGAGCGAGGCGCGGGAGCAACACCGAGGGCTGCGATCCCGTTGCCAGTCCCGGTCCGGTACAGGGGCGACACTGAGAATTCGACTCATTCATTTCAGTTGAGAGAAACATGCCTACAGGAGGGTTCAATTTCAGCACGAGGCTCAGTGCTGCACTCGCCCTGATGGACAAGGGCTGCTCTGGTTAGTCGTAGGTGCCTGTGTTAAGCTGTTACTTGGACAGAAATGGTGCACAATGGCTCAGGTCAAAATCTAGTTTCCATCAATTAATTTACTAGAGATTTCTGCTAAAATCAGTAGCTAATTGATGCTCATTAAGTGACCTGAACGAGTAAGGGCTGCTTCTGAAAAGGCCAATTTACTCCCAGCGTGTAAATTCCACTCTGAGTAAAATCTGAGCCAAACTGCTGTCCCCAGTCACCGTAAGAAATGAGGGGTTGGGCCGGCCCGGTGGCGCACTGGATAGTGCGCCGCTTGGGAAGCGCGGCGGCACTCCCGCCCGGGGGTGCGGGTCCCACATACAGACCGGTTCCCGCTCACTGGCTGGGCGAGGCGCGGGAGCAACACCGAGGGTTGCGATCCCGTTGCCGGTCCCGGTCCGGTACGGGGGCGACACTGAGGGTTGCGATCCGTTGCCGGACATGGAAAAAGACAAAAAAAAAAAAAAAAAAAGAAATGAGGGGTAAAGTTTGGAGCTAGGTATTTTCTGTTAAACTTATTTCATATCATTTATAAATTCAGTGTTTATGGTTATTAGAACCTGGTTTTCACTTAAGCTTTAGTAGTCTAGGAAAAAAGGAAAATTGATAAAGTTTAATAAGGTTAAATATTTAATTCTTCAAGCTTTTATTTATTTATTTTTTTAGCAGCTGGCTGGTATGTCTTCAAGTATTTTAATAGTGCCAAGTACATAAACATTTTGACAGTTACATTAATACTTCATTCACCAAAACTAGCCTAGATACTCCAATGGTATTCTGCCATTGAATGATGTAAGTACTTACTCTAGAATGAAATTTCATTTTGATAAAGTATTTTTTTTTTCCTTTTTGTCTTTTTTTCGTGTCCGGCAACGGATCGCAACCCTCAGTGTCGCGCCTGTACCGGACCGGGACCGGCAACGGGATCGCAACCCTTGGTGTTGCTCCCACACCTCGCTCAGCCAGTGAGCGGGAACCGGTCTGTATGTGGGATCCGAACCCTCAGCGGGAGCGCCGCCGCGCTCCCAAGCGGCGCACTGTAGCAGTGCGCCACCGGGCCGGCCTGAATGAGATTTTTATTCTGAGGGACATTTTAAAACTTTTGCAGTGGTAGCTTTTGGACTTCCCTTTAGACTAAAACATAAGGACTTTTTTTTAAGACCAGGAAGAGGCAGGAGCATTCAGGACTCAACAATATGCACATAACAGCCAGAATGAGAAAAGAAAGCAGTAGTTGTGACCTGTGTGACCTGTACCCTAATCCCTTAACTCACCTGTAGCTCTCTTCCGAAACACCAATGTGGAAGATGTCCTCAGTGCCCGAAAACTGGAACGAGACTCACTTCGGGATGAGTCCCAAAGGAAGAAGGAACAGGACAAGCTGCAAAGGGAGAGGGACAAACTAGCCAGGCAGGAGCGCAAGGAAAAGGAAAAGAAAAGGACACAGAGAGGGGAGCGAAAGCGATAACCTTGGCCCACTCTATTCTTCTCCCCCATGAACTTGATCAAAGGAACTGGTCGTGCAATGTGTATTTAAGAGAAGTGAGATAATGTTGTGAAGTGGTTTCCCAAGGCATTTTTCCTTTTGTTTACATGGTTAAAAGGAAGATCACAGTCACTTCTAATTAGAAAATGTGCCATGTTTCAGTGGTGTGGGCCATCAGATTATTATAGTTGCTTTCTTTACCAATGATCTGGAATAGGGGCAGTCATAGTTTAATATTGAAGTCCTGTGCTCTTTTTGGCCACTTTAAAAAGTCTTCCCTCACCTTGGATAAATTGCAGGAGGATTCAGAAAGCTAACAGTTAGTTTTAATCCTGAAGGAGCAGAAACATGATCCCTCCTTCCCCAAGATGAAATGTGGGAATGCAAATTGCCTTAGAGGCAGTATTCACCCCTAAATATAGTATTGTTTTATGGCTGAAATAGAAAGCTAATGAAGAGTCCTTCCTGGATTCAGATTTTATGTTACATTGTAGCAAACTAGGAAAATGGGAAGAAATTATTTGGGAGGTGTTCCAGATCTGAGAATTTTTTTTTTTCCCTTTTTGTCTTTTTTTACTGACCGGTAATGGGATTGCAACCCTCGGTGTCGCGCCCGTACCAGGGACCGGCAACAGGATCACAACCCTCGGTGTTGCACCCGCAACCCTCGGTGTTGCGCCCGCACCACGCTCAGCCAGTGAGCGGGAATCGGTCTCCACATGGGATCCGAACCCTCGGCGGGAGCGCCTCTGCGCTCCCAAGCGGCGCACTCTTCAGTGTGCCACCGGGCCGGCCCTGAGAATGTTTTTTAAAGAAAAGTTTCAGCTTATGGGAGGGAAAGAAGTATCTTTTTTTTCCTTTTTTTGTCTTTTTTACTGACCGGTAACGGGATCGCAACCCTCGGTGTTGCGCCCGCACCACACTCAGCCAGTGAGCGGGAACGTTCTCCACATGGGATCCGAACCCTCGGCGGGGGCGCACTCTCCAGTGCACCACTGGGCTGGCCCAGAAGTATCTTTTAAAATAGAGATAGTCGGGCCGGCCCGTGGCTCACTCGGGAGAGTGTGGTGCTGATAAAATAGAGATAGTCACATATTTTTCCTCATCTAGGTTGTGAATTTAAGAAGGATGTGTGACTGTTGTATACGAGGATATAATTATTAGCTAGATTCATTTTTTATAATCATGAATCCTCTTGAGTCCTTGTAGGTTTTAATCTTGATTTGCCCTAAAACATATGAGAATTAAGACCTGATAATTCCTGGTTTAGAGAAACTGGAGGAATCGTCCTTTTAGAGAGGAAACACTGGAAATCTCTGCTAACATAAAGATATTTAAAAGTGTACATAGTAGGTGCTCAACAAATTTATTAAATGAGTGAATGAATGGAAAAACTGTATGGGAGAGTCAAAAGTGACCAGAAACTCTCCATTTCTACTTTTGCCACAAGCCCATTCAATTGTAAATAAGGTCCTTTTCTATTGACTTTTAGGCAGCAGACTGTCTAGAAGTCTGAAGAAAACAATTTCTCTGACAAGACAGAAAGTAGATATTTTATACCAGGGGTTGGCAAACTACTGCCCACAGGCCAAATTTGGTCCAGTCTGTTTTTGTATGGTATAAACAAAAATGGTTTTTACATTTTTAAAGGGTTATAAAAGAAAAACTATGTGACAGAGACCATATGTGGCCTGTAAAACCTAAAATATTTATATCTGGCCCTTTGGAGAAAAAGTTTGCCAACCTCTGTTTTATACTATTAACTATGAGATTAACAAAAAACTCTTACCTTTGTGCAGAAGGTTAAAAAAAAAAAAAGCATGGTAAAGGAAAAGGAGATGAGTTACTTTTTCATACACTCCTATAACTATGGCATTGCAAAAAAAAAAACACCAAAACAACCTTTTAAAAAAATAAACTTTATTTAAATCACTATCTTCTGACTTATTTCAATTTCTTCCAGCTACCCATGGAAATGAATTGTGTGGATAGCCACTTAGGAATGTACTGACTTTTATTGTATGCTTTGTTTTGGTTAGCCCTATAACCTATTTTCTACTAATAGAACCTCTCCTGGAATCTATAAATTTTCCTTTCTGTGAAGTAGGGATCAGATCAGAAAGATTGCCTTGTTTTTTAGAACATCATAAATTGGCTTTGAAGTCATTTGAAGTACTACTAGTCCTTTATGTGGTGGTAGCAATAGGCTGTGGCTACAGATAGGATATGATAGAGCCAATATTAATTCAGTAACCCTTATTTTGGATTTTGGTTTGTTCTTACCTTGATTTTGGTCTCTGAAGAAGTCAGGTTGTATCCATGGATTGTGGAAGGCTAGGTAGTTTCAATTTGTTAGTAGTCAATTCTTTCTTCTGGGACTCTATTGTATATGTCATATAATACATATGCAAACTAGTGCTTAAGCAGAAAAAAAGGATCAGCTCTTTAGGTTTGTAGTAAGGTTATCCACTTAACTCAGGTGCTAATAAATCCTTTACATCTCAAGTGTTTAATATTGCAAAGGCAGATTTTAAGCAACCATATCTTTTATGGTAAGACTGAGTTTTAGGCCAAATTTGAGATTTCAGTCATAGCATTAATTCACAACCCTCTAAAACTTTGTAGTAGCAGATAATTTAAGTAGGAGGAACACTGATATAATAATTCAAGGTAATTTTCAAGTACCTTTACATAAATTGCTTTTACCATTTAAAAAAATGAGTACACCAAATTCTTTTGGATTAGAAATGATGGGAGCATCAGTTTTACCAGTTTCTCTGCAAATTTTGTGTAATTTATAACTTTTCGTAGGTTGTAGTTCAGGAGAATTATATAAAAACCATCCATTAGAAGGTATACCATAGAAAGGGACAACCAGCTAATTTAAGAATTATCTACTGGGTGACATGTGGTTAACAAAATTTCAAAGAATTGTTTTTTAAGTGTTTGGTTTCTGTTAAGGAACTGGTGTTTCATTTCTGACCACTGTTATGTAAAAGCTTCCCCAGAATATTTCTGGTTTGTCTGGATTAGCATAAAAACAGCAAAAATTTCATCTTTGAAGGCGGTCATGTTAGATCCAAAGATATATGAATGGCATTGATTTATCTGTCAACATTATTACTTATAAGAACTCAAAGCTTCACATGAGTTCTTATCAGTTAAATGAAATTCGGATCAGTTTTCTGACATCAGTGACTCCAAAGTTTAGAAACTAATACAAACATAAAAAAGAAACCAAATATTTTCAACAAAGTAATTTATTTGTTTCCTGAGAGACTAAGTTCAGTACAGTATTTGTTTTCATAACATCCAACATATCTTAAGTAAATTTAACCACTTTCTATGCAGTAACTGTGTTGGTGGGGTGATCTATTTTATTTGACTATCCTCAATGTAATTCATTTGGGTAGTTCTAAGGCATATCAGTGATCAACATGTTTCTCCATACAGTCAATCCTGCATTCTCAATCAGTTTCTTCCATACATCATCTAAAGAAAATTTATGTAGTGTGATTACACTTTTTTTTTTAAATACCAGGATTTTTAAAACTAAGAAAAACACCAACATTTAAAACATCAGTGTTTCTAGTCAAGGACATTTCAATTAAATTTCATCGTACATTATATTATAGTTTAACTCATGCTAGAAATGTTAAAACCCAAGATCTTCTGAGTCACATAATACCAGCATTTCATATTAATGAATAAATTACTCGGGTTTCACACAAAGATATTAAGTGATGAGAAACAGAAAAAGCCAAGCTTTCAAGAGCTCTTTAAAAAAAAAAAATACCAAAGCAAACTAATGAACACAACTACACAAAATATACACTAACCAACTGCAAACTAAACTAAAGATTAACCTTAAAAAAAATACATTTTAGAACTTCGTGATACCCTTTTTAAAAGGCAGCAAACTAAGGGTATTAAAACAATAGTCATTATTTTAGTCACTGTGCATCAAATCTAAAAGATCCAGATAAAGGAAATGTTTTGTTTTGATTCAATTAAAATACTTTAAAATTGGAAATATTTAATAATTGATAGTATAATTAAATTTTAAAGGATATAATATACACAAATGATTTGAACAGGTTTTATATTCAGTAACTTGCATGGTTCTTACACTAGCATTTTTCCCACCAATTTAGGAGAATCAGATGCATTTCCCTCCATATACTTAGGCACTAAGATTTCAAATTTATAAATTTGGTAGTATTTTAAATATTAAATTTTTACATGAATATTGGGTTTATCCTTGTTTTCCTTTGTGTCCTAGGTATTATCTGATTTTGTAAGGAAAACACTTTTATATCACAATCAAACTTGTCTTAGTTACTAGACTGTAGCCATAATTAGGTTACAGTCACTTAGATTCATTATTTGGAATTATACTTACTAAGGCAGACCTAAATGAAACTTATCTCCTAGAAGAATTTCAAATTTGCATTTACCTGCACTGCAGAATGGGTTTAAGCAAAATTTTAGCTGTCAGGAAATATTTAATTAAATTTGGTATCTCTGACTACCCCGAACTCCTAGTCAATGTTACCTTTGAGTTCACTTTAAACTGTATCTGATTCATTCCAAATAGATTTTTAAATAGAAGTTAGACTTCATTAAGGTATTAACTTTAAATCTGAAAGAAAATTAACATATTGAAAGTTTGACAAGTTCATTAAAACTATTTAGCATGTCTTGATATAATTACTTATCAGCTTTTTATTCTTTCTGCTGGCATTTCCTTAATGTTTGTTTGTTTCACCTCTCTTGTTCATTGAATTGCTACTATTCATGCTTTCATGGACTTTATCTTCACAGTTTACTTGTAAAGCCTTTTCCACATCTGCTTGACCAGCTGTACTGGCTGTTTTTGGCAAGGTCATCTGCAGTGCACACCACAGGGTAGTGCGTGCTTTCCGAGTAGCCACACACATCTCTTTAATTGCTGAAGCAAGGGCAAAAACATCTGTAAAAGAAACACTCAGGGTTATTTCATATTGGATACCATTTAAATATCTCTTAACTCTTACAAAATCCAGTGCCATTGCTACTAAATGATCTAACAAAAGGAAGGATGACTATTGATTGAGCTAACCGAAATACTTTATTCTTAAAATACTTAAAAGTATTAATAGTTTATTTCTGACTTGTATGACAATGACTATGCTTTGGGTAGAACACAAGACTGTGTCTTAAGACATTATAATTAAATGGATAAAATTAAAATAGATCAAAGTACTTTTGGAGTAAATGTGGAGGTCATTTACCAATTTATTCTTTAGATAAGTGTTACAAACTTGGAAATCTAACCTTTTAACCTTAGAATCTGATTTATTAATATTCAAATTATTTCATTGTCTTATCAGGAGAATATGCTTTAATATTTGTACCTCTGTCATCTTGGCATCTAGGAACTCGTTGCCTTTGACGATTTGAAGCATTAACAATCTCATCCTTTCTACGTGACTGTACAATATGAATGGACTCCAAGTGTCTATCAAGAGCAGTAGAGATACTGGCATGAAGGGGAGAGCTTCGAAGACGTTCCATTTTGCCTAGTAAAGTCACAACCTGAGAGAAACATTTTAAATTCTGATAAGGCATGTAAGCACATTGCCCTGCTATTAACTAAGCAAAAAAATTTTTTTAGTGAAACAGAATAGAGATTAGAGCAATAATATTCATTCAGTAAGTCAATGAATGCTTACTGGGTTCTGACACCATGCTGGGGGAAATAAAAATGGAGTCTGTTTTTATACCTACTTGTATATGTTAATTCTAAAAACTTTTGGTAGTGATTACTGAGAATAAGCAACAATGAAAATGTCAAATATTCAACTATTTCTTCAGTGTCACTGACCGTGCAAACATAAGATCTGATATTGTTTTTGGCAAATAAGAGAACAGCCTGCATGGGCCAGCCCGTGGCTCACTTGGCAGAGTGTGGTGCTGCTAACATCAAGGCCAAGGGTTCGGATCCCTATATAGGGATGGCCGGTTAGCTCACTTGGGAGAGTGTGGTACTGGGAGCGCAGCAGCGCTCCTGCTGAAGGTTCGGATCCTATATAGGGATGACCGGTGCGCTCACAGAGCTCACTGGCTGAGCGCGGTGCTGCCAGTCTCAAAAAGGACAAAAAAAAAAAGAAAATTCTGAAATTACAAAAGAAATAATAGGAATAATCATTCATTAAATTACAAGATGATTTAGCATCAGTATTCTTTATAACATTTGATTTGAAGTGATATACTAACTTTCCCAAAACAAAGGTAATTTGTAAAATTATGTATACCTACATATTCCAGTTTATCAGTATTTAATGCATTGCTGGATATACTTAAATGTATGTTGACTAACTCAAGAATGCAGGATTGAGAAAATGAAATGTGGTAATTCCCTGTTAATTTACCATCTTGTACAATATAAGCACAGCTTGCTCATCAAGCTAAAAACAAATGTTTGTGACTAAGAAATGGGACTTGAGTGATTTAAAAATCCACTGTTGGATGTTTTTACAGCTTACTCTGGCTTGTTCTCGAAGTTCATCCACAATTAAGCGATCAACTCTAGATGGGTTGGAGGTCAGCCTTCGAACTGGAGTATTGTTAGTACTGGATACTTTTTTTCCTGGATAATTCTTGGCAAGGGCTAATTCAGTCTATAAAAAATATAATTTTTAGATGAACTTTCTAAATATGACTCAACCATGAATAATATTTTTGATAATCCTAAGAAATAAATAGAAAATTACCCCCTTTAAATAAAAATTCTGTTTTGGTATCAAAAGGCAACAATATAAGCCATAGTACTGCAGTATTTTTCCATCATATTTAACACATATAAGATACCTGAATACTCTTAACAGTTTAATAAAAAAATAACTTTTAACCCATTACGGAAAAAAAATCTACTTCATGGACAAAATAAACTTTAAAAAAATTAGAACAGGGCTGGCCTGTGGCTCACTTGGGAGAGTGTGGTGCTGATAACACCAAGGCCCCGGGTTCGGATCCCATATAGGGATGGCCGGTTTGCATACTGGCTGAGCGTGGTGCTAACAACACCAAGTCGATGACCCTTACTGGTCATCTTTCAAAAAAAAAAAAAAAAAAAAAAAAAAGCCTGTGGCTCACTTGGGAGAGTGTGGTGCTGATAACACCAAGGCCCCGGGTTCGGATCCCATATAGGGATGGCCGGTTTGCATACTGGCTGAGCGTGGTGCTAACAACACCAAGTCGATGACCCTTACTGGTCATCTTTCAAAAAAAAAAAAAAAAAAATAGAATATACATAACCATTTTCTTAAAACCTCAAGCTTTTTTACTCTTTAGGTAACCTAGTTAATTCCTTATAATCATGAACTTAAATACTGCACATTACAGAAGAACTCAGGTTTGATATAAGGCAAGTACTCTTAAACTACATGAAAGTAAACAAAATGAAGACAGGCAGAGGGAACATACTAAGTTACTTCTAAATAGATAGCTTTGTATTACCTTTTTTCTCTCCTTTTCTAATGCTCTCCATTGTTCATAGCACTCTTCTAGATGAATGTGAAGTTCACTGGCTGGTCCACTACGGGTTTTAATTGGTCTTTGAAATCCAAAAGTTGGCACGAAACCAGAAAAGGAATGATCACCACACATCATATCATTAAAATAAGGGTATAAATGGCTTAAGTCATCATAAGAAAACAAATCATAGGAATCCAGCAGTGGAACAACTGAATGGCCAAATGGGTGGGTGGCTCTTAGGGGAAACCCACTTAAACCAAATTGTTGGAAACCCTGATTATGCCTTAAATCTCCCATCATATAATTATTAGAAAAGCATGATGCCTGTGTGCGATTCACACGGCTATTAATGTTGTTGTCTCCACTTCCCTGTCTGTGGCTATTAAAATGACCTTGTGACTCCAACAGATCTTGATATGTATTTTGAGATAAACCATCTAAATGCTTTGAACCTTCCTCAGGTTCATAATGTCCACTCTGGGGCTGGGCTTGAAAATTATGTTTGTTTACATTTTCAATGATCCCATCCTGCTGAGCTGAATAGTTATCACAAAATCCATTTGGCTGCTTTATTTTTTTATCAGTAACAGATTCAAAGAGATTTTCTTCTCCAGTCTTTGTCAGTCCTTCCATGTGATTGACAGATTGAATTCTTTCTGCACCATTGTAACTGAAATCAAAACTAGAAAATGCTGAAGGGTTTTCTTGGCAATACTTCTGAAATAAATTGCTATTTGGGGTTAAATTTGTGGATGATAGTTGGGGGAAATCTGAAGAATGGTTAGAACCTTTTGAAGCTGCACTTAAATGACTATTTAATTTCATCAAGTTACCTTGATTACGATAAAGAATAGGAGTGTTATTTTTTGTTTGAACATTCATCCAAGCTGGTCTGTTTAAATTGATACTTACTGAAGATGTTGCTGAGTTTGACAATAAATTCACTGGTTTAAAGTACTCAGAATTTGGGGGATCAGGTTTAGCAAACTGTTGCTTTTCTGTGACATTAGCAAAATCATTATTAGCTGGACAAGCTGTGTGAGGTTTTAGTCCATATTCTGATTTTAAAACAAAATCAGCAGTGAATGCTGCTTCCTTTGCAAACTGTTTTTCTGTCAGATGTGGTATAGTTTTTGGAAATGTGAAATTCTGCTGGTCGGGTATTGTCTCCTCCATTTTTTTCTGATTTGCTGGTTTAACCTGAAATAACTTTGTGTAGGTGTCTGCTTCTACAGCTGGTGTTTCAGGTGTGCCATTGGCTAATTTTTTACCATCTTGGACACTAAAATTTGAACATTTATTAAGCTTAGCCTTATTAGGATGAGCATATTCTGGGTATCTACAATAATCTGCATTTTCACTGTATCTATTAAATTGAGAAAGAAATATCTCTGCCCTTTTCTGCTGTAATGGTGCTTCAAGACCTTTAGCACATTTTTTCTCTCTTCCATAAGGGTAAGTGTCAACTTCTGATTCTTTCATGATGTCAGACAGACCAGTTTGTGGTGTAAAACAGTTTTTGATAAATGGATATTCTTGGAATGTTGTCTTAGCTGTATCATTTGTCTGAATATTGTAACAGTTAGAATGATCACTTCGAGAGGGGTACATCCATTGTTCTTCAAGGTCTAAACCAGTAAATCCATGATAAAGTTCATCTACTTTTTGTTGTGGTGTGAGATTACTGTTATGCAGGTATTGCTTTTCCACTGCTGACACAGATTCGCCACTATAAAAAGCTTGCTGAGAGATGGCTGTATCTATTGGCCTTTTGGTTTCTGTTAAGAAGTCATGGTGATCTGCAAATCTGCTTGTGTTTAGTGGCCAAACTGATTTTAAATTGGAGGAGCAGGTCCTAGAACAAGTAAATATATTTAATTACAACTTAGGTTTTAAAGACTTTATTTCCTCAGTGGGGAAGTTAGGAAAGGTTTTCAAAAACATTTATCTTGCCCCACCTCACCATTCTCTAATCCTTTCCAACCCTGCGTTATAAGCTACCATTAGTATACCTCCAAATAATTTTCTCTTGCATGAATTATACTATATACTATATAAATATGCACTTTAATCTTAATATGTTTTCACTGTACTTTCCCAAGAGGAATTAACTAAGGCCTAAGGCTGGTGGTCTTACATGAATTGTTTATCTATAGTAAGCAGAGAATAAGTAAGTTTTTCCTTTGATTAGTTTATTATACAGTATATAAATGTTGTTGGCCACAATTTTTTTTAAAAAATGTTTTGCTTAAACTATTTTTAAAATTAAAATATTTTAATTGGTTACATGTGTGCTGCATACTTCCCTATTTATGAAATAGGGTGTTTGGGTAATATGTTTTCCACACCCAAATAAAACAATTAAAACATACTTTTAAAATTTCTACCACGTGAATAAAATCCATATGTATTTCTGCATAGCAGTAATGAGTTTTTTCCTTTGGGATCTATGTATAAAAGCTCCTTGAAATTTATACTTTTTTTTTTTTTTTTCCTTTTTGTCTTTTTTTCGTGACTGGCAACGGATCGCAACCCTCAGTGTCGCGCCCGTACCGGACCGGGACCGGCCACGGGATCGCAACCCTCGGTGTTGCTCCCGCCCCTCGCTCGGCCAGTGAGCAGCCGGTCTGTATGTGGGATCCGAACCCTCGGTGGGAGCGCCACCGCGCTTCCCAAGCGGCGCACTACAGCAGTGCACCACCAGGCCAGCCCGAAATTTATACTCTTTAAGCGAAAGTTTAGCTCATGAACTCAAGGGAAATAGCTCTGAATTATGCAAGAATAATTTTTCAAATGAAAGTTTTTAAGCAAATAAAACCTTAGACTGAACTTTCAATTGTATGGCAGTACTTCAGCCAAATCAAGGTTCCTAGAAAAAAATATATGAATTAAGATGTCTACTATCAGATGATCCACTATTAAGCAAAAAGTAAAAGTTAATAAAGAGTGTAATCTACTGTATGTGAATTTAAAAGCCTATTATACAATATATAGTTTATATAACATACTGACCCTTCAGCAAAATATGGCTGTGACTTATCTTGCTCTTCCAAAATGTTAGACACAAGTCCGTATAAGTCTGTTTCACTGCCATAGTCATTTCTTTCAGTTTGAATCCTAGAAATAAATGAATATTACATGTACAATATTTTATTCATGCTGAAATACAATATATTGATTTCTCTTTTCAGACTTATTCTATTCTACCATTATTTTTCTATAAAATATTTGGACTGAATCTACACCATCATTTCAAGTAAAGAGGGGACAGGAACTCAAGAATATTTTCCACATTGACATGGTGTCTGTCCTACATTCATGTTTCTCCTTCATTTCAAATTCTGTGACTAGTTCAAAAATGTATGCTTACCTCTTTTTTCTCCACAACACATGCCATTAATTTTAGGTGACCAAGATATAAATCTCTGACCTACAATGTTGCAGACCTCCTTGCTAGCACAGCTGCTCCTGAAAGCATGTCTGGTCCTATTATACATCATTCTATCAACACCTGCTGTTTCTTCATTTGTGACCTGAAAACCATATGAATCTGCTGCTCTACTTTTGTGACTATACTAAATACTGGATAAAAAGGTGAAATATGGGGCCGGCCCGTGGCTCACTCGGGAGAGTGTGGTGCTGATAACACCAAGGCCATGGGTTCGGATCCCATATAGGGATGGCCGGTTTGCTCACTGGCTGAGCGTGGTGCTGACCAAGTCAAGGGTTAAGATCCCCTTACCGGTCATCTTTAAAAAAAAAAAAAAAAGGTGAAATATGATATGGTTATCCTAGATACCATAGCAATTTTGCAGTTGCCTAAATCCTTGACAAAGTAGTGACTAGATAGAGTTCCCTAAAATCCTTGACAAAATAGTGACTGGATGGAATTCCATGTACCCAAAATCCTACTTAGTGACTAAGACTGTCTAATTAATACAAAATGTAGGGGCCGGCCCGTGGCTCACTCGGGAGAGTGCGGTGTTGGTAACACCAAGGCCACGGGTTCGGATCCCATATAGGGATGGCCGGTTCGCTCACTGGCTGAGCGTGGTGCTGACAACACCAAGTCAAGGGTTAAGATCCCCTTACCGGTCATCTTTAAAAAAAAAAAAAAAAAAATACAAAATGTAAAATCCACGAACATATGGGAAATTAGTACCTTTTATCTCTTATGGATTTTGGATAATTTCTTCCCAGAAATAATATGTTGTTTTGAATTGTAACTTCTTGTTTTTCATATTTTCAACATTTCATAGTGTTAGGATATTTTAGAAATAAAAATACCTTATATTTGCACAATACTCAAATATTTAATTGATCTTCATAATGTTGGAAGGGTAGGCATTAGAAATCATTCAGTTATTATCTGTTGAATGATCATTTGAAATATTAAGAAACTTGTATTTTGCAAGGGTAGATGACTTGCCAAACTATTATACACTTGCTGAACAAACTGTCTGCCTACAAGTGTAATACTTTTTTCACTACATCATGTTATTTCATAAAGTTTCAATATAAAAGCTTTTTAATGTAATAATGTATTAGTATATATATAGAAAAATATTCAATGTAATATATACCAAACTGGTAATAGTTGTTATTGTGGGGTGGGACGACAGGGTTAAGGTGGACTTTCACTTTTCTTGATACATGTATTTCTGTACCATTTGAATTTTTTCAATAGCATGTATCAAGTTAAAAACCATTTTTGCTTTTTGTAGAATTATACGTTATATAATTTTTCTGATAAAGTCATTATTTTGAGAGTTTACCAAGAATTTTAAATTTTCAACATTTAAAAATTAATAATATTCAACAAATAACTATTTCATGGTTAAAGATGCAGCAGCCTCTATCAACAGTTCCTCTATGTGTAATTAAAATAAAGGTAGATGTCATTCAGGCTTCTCTTTGCAATAGGCTCCCATATTATACTTCCTCTTTTGTAAACTTCACTATACCTATAGTGCCTGGCATGTAGTCATCATTGTCATTATCATCATCCTAAAGATTATCAAGGCAGAGATAATATTTGCCATGTTAATTCTAGTATCCCTAGTAGGAGAGCATCTAACATACTGTAGGCCCTTATTTTTCTATTCAGTTACACAGATAATAATTTTAAAATCTTATGCTTAATAAAGCCTTATTTATTGTGTACTTGTGAAGAAAAAAGTACTGAAAACTAAGAATTGGATGAAAAATAGATCTAAAAATTGTAACTCATTAACATGTTATCTTTAGAAAGAGTAACTTAAGATTTTTTCACTAAAGATTCCCTTTAATGAATTTTTTTTTTTTTTTTTTTTAAAAAGATGACCGGTAAGGGGATCTTAACCCTTGACTTGGTGTTGTCAGCACCACGCTCAGCCAGTGAGTGAACCGGTCATCTCTATATGGGATCCGAACCCGGGGCCTTGGTGTTATCAGCACCGCACTCTCCCGAGTGAGCCACGGGCCGGCCCAGCCTTTAATGAATTTTTAAAAAGTAATAAACTAAAAATTAAACACAAATAACTGAATATCCAGTTTAGGCTAAAAGTTTGATAAACATAAAATTATAAGGCCACAATATTAAAATGCTGGTCTAGGGAACAGAGATCTAATACACCTCAGTTCCTATGCATTTAGCTTGAGAAATCTAATTTATTAATTTACCTGTTCTTTACATTGATCTGAGAATTAGAAGGTTGTTTAATATCATCTCCATAAGTAGACCATGGTGCATAGAAAAGTGAAGAATCTACAGAACTTGAAAATTCTGCTGATGTAGAAAGTGGAGTATAGGTCTGCCTTAGGTCTACATTGTCTTCACTCTGAAATTTTTAAGAATTTTTATATCAGACACATCAAAACATAATTTATTACAGAATATTACAAAATAATTAGAGGAAATAAGACAAGTTAAAAGTTGGGAAAATTACATTCAAATCTAGACTTAGCTACCTAAGCTTTCTTTATACCAGGGATTGGCAAACTTTTCTGTAAAAAGTCAGAGTAAATATCTTAGGCTTTGCTGGACATGAAAGTCTCTGCTGAAATTTCTCAACTGTGTTGTTCTAGCACCATAGCAACTGTAGGCAATACATAAACTAATGGGCATGGCTGTGTGGCAATAAAACTTTATAAAAACAGGCACCAGGCAGATCTGGCCCCTTGTTGCTGATTCCTGATATAAAATACCTACAATAATTGCAGTTTTAATTTTTTGAAGATGAGTATTATGTGGCTACTAGCAGTGTAATTTTGAATAAATCATACACAAAACTCAGTCTTAATGTCCCCAATCTATGAAAAAACTTAATATACATTTACATAGAATTTTGCAATTTTCCAAGAAATTTCACATACATTATTATATTCAGTTAACCTTGTAACATGGGTATTATCTCTATTTAAAAAACAAGGAGAAAAAAAAAACAAGGAGACTGAGGCTATAAGTTACTCAGCCAATACATGACAAAACTAAAACCAAACAAGGTCTTCTTATTCCTAGTCAAGGGCCTTTTTTACAGTGTCTTTAATTTTGAGCCAAGTTTCTATTTTAGATAGATATTGTAAAAAAGGGATGATACATAAAATGTTATGATTTATTCAATAAATTTTAAAGATATTATAATCAGAAAAAATACAAACTTATTTTTCTATTTTTTATTTTTTTATCTAATTATTTTATTTATTTATTTTATTTTTTTATTTTTGGTGAATGCTTCTATAATGAACTTTGAGTAAAAAAGATAAAAAGCTTGGATTTTAAGATTCCTAATGAATTATTTAAAACCCTGCTTCCTTCCAAAAGGGATTGAGGTGAAGTGAAAATAATTATAAATAGAATGAATGTAACAAACAACAACGAAAAATTACACTAA